AAAAAAAAAAAATGAAAAAAAGCTACCTCTTTTCTCTTCAAGTAAAAACAGATAATAAAAATTAATAGCAGAATCGCACTCTCCTTAAAAGTGTCATTTACTAAGAATACTCTGAAATGAATTATCAACAGCATATGTGACCTCAGAAGAATAAAATAGCTAGAGGACTGTATTACTCCAAGTATCAATAAGTGCCCACGTGTAGATCATTCAAACCAGTGAGAAAATCAGACCCAGGACAGCATGGGAAACCACTGACCACTCTGCTGAATAACTGCAGACACGGGATGTAACATGTCATAGTTTTTTAAAGCTGACCCTTTCAACATTTGCACTGTCGACACAAATGGAATTATTAAAAGAATTGTGCTTTACTCCAATGAGGTAAACATGCTCTAACTCTATCAGGAAGAAATGAAAATTCTAAACCACATAGCAGCCCCACATATGGGAAGTGAAGCACTTTCTCTGTCATTCACTGCTAAAAATTAACGTGTTTTTTTGTTGTTGTTGCTGTTGTTTTATGTAGGAGGAATTCTTTCCTAATAAAACCTTACAGATTTTTTACATATCAATTAGGCTCACAAAATGTTAATAATTTAAGAATTATTCCTAAATCAACAACATTCCTGAATTATCTAGTAGATCTCAATGAAGAAAAAAGAGGACTGCAAAATGTTTAATTTTTAATTTATCTTGAAAACAATCTTATAAATTGCGGTACAACTGACACGCAAAAAAACTGCACATTTTTAGGTGTATAATTTAGTCAGTTTTGACATACATAAAAGCCCATGAAACCATCACCACCATCAAGGTAATTAACATATCCATCAGCCCCAACAGTTTCATCCTACTCCCAGCCCCAGGCAATCTCTAAACTGGTTTCTGTCACTTTAGTTTGCATTTCCTGAAGTCTTATATGAATGGCATCGCTTATACAAACTTTTTATCTGGCACTTTCACTCAACTTATTTTGACACTCGTCCATGCTGTAGAATGTAGAACGCTCATTCCTTTTTATTGGTGAGTACTTTTTCACTATCTGAATGTACCACATTTTGTTTATTCATTCACCTGTTGATGGACATTTGAGTTGCTTCCATTACGGAGCTATTACAAATAAAGCTGCTATGAACATTCATGAACACTTTTGTACTGACATATACTTTCACTTCTTTTGGGAAAATACCTACGAGTGAATTATATGGGGGGTATACATTTAACGTTTTAAGAAACTGCAGAAAACTGCTTCCCAAAGTACTTGCAGTATTCCACATCCCCACCAGCAATGTGCAAGAGTTCCTGTTCCTCCACGTCCTGGCCAACACTTGGTATGCACAGTCTTTTTAATTTTAGCCATTCTAGTGCAGGTGTAGTCATATCTACCACATTGCAGTTTTAATTTGCATTCTACTAATGACTAATGATCTTGCACACATTTTTGTGTGCTTATTAACCACATTTATGTTTCTCTGGTGAAATGTCTGCTCAAATCTTTTGTCCTTTTCTTCACTGGGTTGCCTTCTTATTATTGAGTTGTAAGAGTTCTTTATATATTCTAGATACAAGTCCTTTTCCTGGCTGTGCTTGGCAGAGATGTAGGAGTGAGGCTGCCTGAGGCTTTGGGGACCCAGATGCCCAATTGTGTCCAGGATGCAGGACTTGGAGTCAAAGAACATTATTTTGGAGGTTTAAGACATAATGTCTGCCCTGCTGGGTTTCGGACTTGTTTGGGGCCTGTTTTTCCTTTTTTCTGGACTATTCCTCCCTTTTGGAATGGGAATGTATACCCAATGTCTGTTCCACCATTGTATCTTGGCAGTAGATAAATTTGGTTTTGTTTTTCAGGTTCACAGCTGGAAGGACTTTTGCTTTTGGTCTCAGATGAGA